TTGTTTTCTTTTATTTATATAAAAAAAGTATTTTACCTCTTCATCTTTTGTTGATAACTTTGGCGTTCATTTTCAAATTTCGAATTTAAATCTTCTAAAACGTGATTACTAACAATATCTCCCTTCGATAGCTTTTCAGTTATCCGTTCGTTTAAATTCCCTATTAAGAAATTTTAGGTGATCAGTAACTTTCTTAAGTAAAGACTCTTTAGGGTTTCTATTAGTTCTTGTCATCTTTCTCAGAAAAAAAATTATCATCATAATGAAAGAATGCTTATTATTATATAGAAATGTTAGCCAACTGGTCGTTTAACATTTCCATATTCGGATGTATTTATTGATAAGCTCACAATCCCTTATAATCAGCCAACTGGTCATTGACTATAAGGTAATTTCTCGTTAAATACATCCGGTTTTTTTATTATTAAACACATTACGTAAAGTGAATATCTAATTGTAAAAATATAAAAACACAAAAATAAAAAGATACTTCTCTTCTGTAATTACGCATATTTTATATATCTAAGTAATATCCTTGGTGGATAGTTTGTTTTAAAAGTCTCTAACATTAAAAATAAAATAGTAATTTTTTTTTGAATCGGATAGAAATTTACTGGGAATTCATTGTTATTATGCTTGATATGTAAAAAATGTAAGTCATTCTTGAGCTATCTTTATCAATGGTAAGTTTTTGAAAGAAAAAAAGATGGGTTGTATCTCGCAGGGTATTTATGGGTGCTTGAGAACACCCTTAGTCTAACATAAATCCCGTTTTGAAAAGTTTTTTTTTTTTTTTAAAAAAAAAAAGGAGTGCATATTGGATTGAACGCCGTATAGATTTGTTTAAGATCTAGTTTTGTAAGGAAAAAAAAAACGCGTGTAAAGCTTTAATTAGTTATTAATATCATTGTCTAACTATATTTTTTCCGTGAAACATTAGGAACGCTGTACATATTTGTTTAATCAGTTGTTTTTTGTGAGAAAAAAAATACCGTGCATAGCTAGTGAATCATACGGATTTGTTTAATCATATTCTTTATTGCTTGTTTTATTGTTAAAAAAAAAAAAAGTGCCAGCAAATTAGTTATTGATAAGCTTTATTATTATTTTTCGTGAAATATCAAAAACGCTGTCTATCAAATTCTTTATTGCCTGAAAAGCTTACTTTCTAATGGAAATCGCGTGAAATTTTACTTGTTCGCGTGATGCTCTAAGAAATTAGAACTTCCATATGGGCGGATTGAACAGGAGGAAACGTTGATGTTACACGACTGATTTTACACACGGTGTAAAACACAAAAATGTTATTTTACAATACTTGATCGGACTTGAATTGGAATGAACGTGATTTCTATAGTGATTTACTGTAAAAAATTGATACAAGTGATTTAGATATGGATATGTTAGTTTTGTATTGGAATGAACGTGATTTCTATAGTGATTTACTGTAAAAAGTTCTGTGAATATCCGGTAGTATAAAATACTGTATAAAGAAATAATACAAAAAACTCCCCTAGTATATATTCTTAAGTTTGCTCGATAATTGTTCAAAAACCGGTTTATAAATATATATCGGTAAAATAAATTTTATGTTAAGTTATATAATTTTACATTACTTAAAATAGAATTGAACTTTAAGTTAGAGTGGCTTTTATACAGTATTAATAGCATTAAATTAGTATCAAGTTTGGCTTAAATTGTAGTCAATTGAACATTGTGATTATTAAAATCAAATGTGATGGTCTAAATTACTATAGAATAGCTGTATAAAAACCGATAAGAGCTTGTAATTATCTAAGGACCTATAAAGTAAACTATATAAAAAACTGATAAGCAACTGATAAAAAATTTAACAATGATTGATTAAAATATCAGTAGTCATTCCAATCTTGCATATGATTGGTTCAAAAAACTTATATGCATAAATAAAAATTATGAAAACTGCCCCCATACGCATATTGGACGGATCGTGTTCATTTTGTGATATTTAAAAATGTTCACATTAAAATAAACGATGTAATAATATTAATTTCAGCTTATTTAATCATATCACAATACATAATCACAATTAGACTATCTTATTGCAACGTGATCATATTTAGATATCACAAAATGAGCAACAGGAGGAAACGTTGATGTTACACGACTGATTTTACACACGGTGTAAAACACATAAAAAAATTATTTTACAATACTTGATCGGACTTGATCAGTCAGCTAGTACATGTTATGATTATAATCCC